GAGGGGGGGGAAAGGTAAAAAGGAGCAGAGGAGAGCAGAAAACGGGGGTTGAGGGGTAAAGAAACACCGAGAGATTCTGGGGGAAGAGATAAACCAGATAGGAGAGAACTGGAAGGAACGCAGAGGGGGCTGGGGCCGAGGATCAGTGGGGGAGGGGGACAGGGACAACGGAGCTGAAACGGTGGGGCCCCAAGGAGAGAGCCGGGAGGGGGGCTGGGGTGGAAGGAGCTGTGAGAGGGGCAGGGCCCCGGCCGCGGTGCAACGGGAGAGGGGGCGGGGGAGAAAAGAAGATCTGTGGAAAGAAGAGGCTGTGGAGGGAGCGGGGGCGGGGGGGGGAAGGCGAGGCGAGGGAGGCCGGCGCGTCCAGCCCAGGCAGCCGGCCAGCAGCTCCCGGGGCCTCGTCCCGCCCTCTGCCCCGCCCCCCGGCCCTTTGGCCCCCCCCCCCGCGCCTCTGCGGCCACGGCACGGGGCGTGCGTCGGCGGGGCGGCTCCCCGCCCTGCCCCGCGGGCGCCGCGGCCGCCTATATAAGGGGGCGCGCGGCGGCCGGCAGAGCGCTGAGCCGGCCCCTCGCCTCCCGGAGCGGTCCACGATGAGCTACGCGCTGGAGTCGCTGGGCGCGCCGGCCGCCTACCGGCGGGTCACCGAGACCCGCGCCAGCTACAGCCGCACGAGCGGCGGCTCGCCGTCCAGCGGCTTCCGCTCCCAGTCTTGGTCCCGCGGCTCAGCCGGCGGCAGCCTGAGCAGCTCGGCGATGTCCGTCTCCTACAAGCGCGCCGTGCCCCGCAGCGCCTACGGCGCCCTGGGCTCGGCGCTGCTCAGCTCGGCCGAGAGCAGCCTGGACTTCAGCCAGTCGTCGTCGCTGCTGAACGGGACGGCCGCGGGCCCCGGCGGCGTGGGCGTCGACTTCAAGCTGGTGCGCGCCAACGAGAAGGAGCAGCTGCAGGGCCTCAACGACCGCTTTGCGGGCTACATCGAGAAGGTGCACTCGCTGGAGCAGCAGAACCAGGAGATCGAGGCCGAGATCCAGGCTCTGCGCCAGAAGCAGGCGTCCCACGCGCAGCTCGGCGACGTCTACGAGCAGGAGCTGCGCGAGCTTCGCGCCGGCCTGGAGCAGGTGAACCACGAGAAGGCGCAGGTGCAGCTCGAGTCGGAGCACCTGGAAGAGGACATCCACCGCCTCAAGGAGCGCTTCGACGAGGAGGCGCGGCTGCGCGACGACACGGAGGCTGCGGTGCGCGCGCTGCGCAAGGACATCGAGGAGGCGTCCCTGGTCAAGGTGGAGCTGGACAAGAAGGTGCAGTCGCTGCAGGACGAGGTAGCCTTCCTGCGCAGCAACCATGAGGAAGAGGTGGCCGACCTGCTGGCGCAGATCCAGGCGTCGCACATCACGGTGGAGCGCAAGGACTACCTGAAGACGGACATCACGTCGGCGCTCAAGGAGATCCGCTCCCAGCTCGAGTGCCACTCGGACCAGAACATGCACCAGGCCGAGGAGTGGTTCAAGTGCCGCTACGCCAAGCTCACCGAGGCGGCCGAACAGAACAAGGAGGCTATCCGCTCCGCTAAGGAAGAAATCGCCGAGTACCGGCGCCAGCTGCAGTCCAAGAGCATCGAGCTCGAGTCCGTGCGCGGCACCAAGGAGTCCCTGGAGAGGCAGCTCAGCGACATCGAGGAGCGCCACAATCACGACCTGAGCAGCTACCAGGTAAGCCGGCCGGGCCGGGGCTGGGAGGACGGACGGACGGACGGACGGAATGTCTTCTAGTCGCGGTGCCCCTCCCGTGCCGCTCCCCGCACCCTTCCGAGCCCTTCCTTGCATATTTCCTATTCTCCTCCGCACATCCCTCTGGATCTCCGGAGCCCCCCCCCCCCTCCCCACGCCCCACCCTATTTCTTTCGCGTTTATCAGCTCCCACTTCCTCGTCTTTCTTCGCCTTCCCTAACTTCACCATTCTCCTTTCTCTCCTCCGACAAGATCCGCACAATACAGAAGCCCGCCTCCCGAAATCCCGCAGTCTTTGTGCCCTTCAGACCTGCATTTCCCCACCTCTTCGATCCTCTCCGCCCTAGTCCGCATTCTACATTCTGCCAGAGCTAGCCCCTCCCCGTCTCTTCCCACTCTGTAGTCGTGCCTAGCCCGGGAGCAGAAAAAGAAAAACCTTTAAAGTTCCTATCCTGCTCTGAGTGCCAAAACTTCTGGAGTGCCCTCTCTAGCTCTTTCCTAAAATGTGTCTCGGCCTTCGGCTCGTGATCTTGCCGAGTTTTTGCATGCTCCTTAAAAAGTCTTAAGAAAAGTTAGTTTTTCTCATCTTTTGGGCTTCAGATGGCAAAGTAACTTTTAGTGTCTCTATGTGTCTGTGTTGAAAAATGTGTATTTCCTAAGTTGTAGATGTTAGTTCAAAAGTAAAGATTGAAGTTTCTCTTTAGAATTCTTGTCTAGCAAAGGACACGCTTTTTTTTTTTTTTTAAAGACTAAAATGCCTTCTGTTGTTTCTCTAGCTTATTCCATCTCTGATGTTCGGCTGTAGGGGGGTGGGGGGCGCGGCGCCGCGGTATCAGAGGGCTTTTTTTTTTTTTTCCATGCATCTTAGAGCAATGGGCTGGTGGGAGCCAGGAGGCTGGCCCAGAATGCTTTTTGCTTAGTGCACATTTCTTAGGAGTGCAAGCTAAGGTCTGGGAAGAGGGAAGAAGATGCAGACCAGGTGTCTGAAGAGAAGGGAATCTGATTTCAGCTTGCATGTTGTTGACGGAAAGGGAACTTGGCCTGTCTGTTTTTAGGACACAATTCACCAGTTGGAAAATGAGCTCCGGGGAACAAAGTGGGAGATGGCACGTCACTTGCGGGAATACCAGGATCTCCTCAATGTCAAGATGGCCCTGGATATTGAGATTGCAGCATACAGGTATGGTAGCCCCGCTACGGACGTGTCTGGAATAATCACAGCACTGCAGAGACTGTTCTGGCAAACTGGCACCACCCACTTAGATAGAGGGAGGGACACCACAGCCTGGGAGAGTTGGGATGGATGTGAGCATACCCGTATCCGAAAGTTGGGGGGGGGGGGGAATGTTATCAAAAGTTCTTAAGCATTATGACATGACATTAAGTGCTGCTGTGCCTTCAATTAAGATCCACAGAAATAGATGAGTAATGGGAGGGCGGCAGTATTTTCTTTGAAAATGTTTCTCAGTCTTTTCCAGTTTAATCCTGTTTCTCATCCACTCTAATCTGAGCCAGTTTCTAGGTATGCTGAATCTTGGGCATTAGTCCAACATTCCCTTATGCTTTTTTCAAGAAGAGATGCCTTTATCTTTTCATCATTTCAACCTTTATCAGCAACAATCTAAATATATTAATATACTGTCTTTTTAATGAAATACCTGTTTGACACATAGTAAATGCTTATTTATTTAAAAATAGGGTTTTTTGCATAATTGAATAGGCCAGGGGTTCTTAATCTGGGGAGCTAGAGCTCCCAAAGGGGTCCATGGATAGATTTCAACAAGCCCATGAATTTTGATAGGAAAAAAAATCATTATTTTTCCTTAACCTCTAATAGAAGGGATCTGTAAGCTTCATCATGCTGCTTAAGTAGAAGGTGATAGGGAGCTGATACAATGAAGGCTAAGAACCCCTGATCCAGACAGAAATATCACTCTTTTCCCTCTAAGGTCTAAGTGACTGTAAAGGGAAGTGTTTGTTTAAGTACTACAACAGGGTTTTTTTTTGGGGGGGGGGGGTTGTTTCTTGTGTGTTAATGAAGGTAAATATTGACCTAAAGTCTCAACCAACTCCTAGCCATATTCTGGAAGAATCTAGATGCTTCAGGAAAAAGCTGCAGCCACTCTATCTGGCCACTAGGGTACCATTGAACGAGTTGTTGCGCCAAATGATGCCCCTCCCTCCATGCAGCTCACCTGCAATGTAGTGAGCACCAGGGAGATGCCAAGTGTTAAGTGATTACCAGGGAGTGGAGTAGCTCCCAAGGATTCTCTAATAAGCCCATTGCCTATTAATGCTAAGCTTCTAGGAGATTGGTTTTCTGGGATCCTATTTACTCCAGGCACCGTCTTCACCTCGTTTCATTCACAGTGGACCCACACAAAGCTTAGCAGGTTTGGCTCTTGAGTCATATTTCCATGTTCTTTGTCTCCCCAGAAAATTGCTAGAAGGCGAGGAGACCAGGTTCAGTACATTTGCTGGCAGCATCACTGGTCCTCTGTACACACACAGACAGCCTTCTGTCACAATATCCAGTAAGATACAGAAAACAAAAGTAGAGGCCCCCAAGCTGAAGGTTCAGCACAAGTTTGTAGAAGAGATCATAGAAGAGACCAAGGTGGAGGATGAGAAGTCAGAGATGGAAGATGCCCTGGCAGCCATTGAGGCAGAATTGGCTTCCAGCGCCATGAAGGAGGAAGAAGGGGAGGCAGCTGGAGAGGAAGAAGTTGTTGCCGCCCAAAAAGCAGTGGTGGAAGCTGCTGCCCCAGAAGCTGAGGAAGGTGAGGAAGAAGGTGAGAAAAAAGGAGAAGAGGAGGAGGAGGAAGAAGATGAGGGTGCTAAATCAGACCAGGCAGAGGAAGGAGGGTCTGAAAAGGAAGGATCCAGCGAAAAAGAGGAGGGTGAAGAAGAAGAAGGAGAAACTCAAGCTGAGGGTGAAGAACTGGAGGCTAAGGAGGAAAAAACAGAAGTGAAGACTGAGGAAAAAGTGGTCATAAAGGAGCTTGTTGTAGAATCCACATTGGTGAAGACTGAGAAAGCCAAGTCGCCTGCGGCTCTGTCTCCCCCGGCAAAGTCACCGACAGCCAAGTCGCCTGCGGCCCTGTCTCCCCCAGCAAAGTCACCGACAGCAAAGTCACCTGCGGCCGCGTCTCCCCCGGCAAAGTCACCGACAGCAAAGTCACCTGCGGCTGTGTCTCCCCCGGCAAAATCCCCCACCACCAAGTCGCCTGCGGCTGTGTCTCCCCCAGCAAAATCCCCCACCGCCAAGTCGCCCGAGGCTCTGTCTCCCCCAGCAAAGTCTCCTGCGGCTCTGTCCCCTACAGCCAAATCTCCCGTGCCAAAATCACCAATGCCAAAATCTCCTGTGGAGGAGGTGAAAGCTAAAGCCGATGAAGATGAGAAGGAAGAAGCTGAGGGAGGGAAGGAATCTCCCAAAGAAGAGAAAAAGGAAGAAAGTGCAAAAGAGGTCCCTGCAAAGAAGAAAGCTGACTCCCCCGTAAAAGAAACAGTCGTGGAGGAGGTGGACACTGTCACCAAATCCACTGAGGTTGGTTCTGAGAAAGAGGCTGAGGGAGGGATCGAGGAAGGAAGTGAGCAGGGTTCAAAGGGGTCTACAAAGGAAGACATTGCAATCAATGGGGAGGTAGAAGGCAAAGAGGAGGAGGAGCAGGAAACCAAAGAAAAAGGTAGTGGAAGAGAAGAGGAGAAAGGGGTGGTCACCAATGGGCTTGACTTGAGCCCAGCAGAGGAAAAGAAAGGAGACAAGGGTGAAGAGAAAGTCGTGGTGACCAAAAAGATAGAAAAAATCACCAGTGAGGGTGGGGATGGGGCGACCAAATATATCACCAAATCTGTCACCGTGACCCAAAAGGTGGAGGAGCATGAAGAAACCTTCGAGGAGAAACTAGTGTCCACAAAAAAGGTAGAGAAGGTCACTTCTCATGCTATCGTCAAAGAAGTCACCCAGAGCGATTAGGGAGGCTGGAGTCAGATGCAAAAGGTTAAGCCATATGACAACTTCAAAATGCATGTGATTGACGGCTTCAAAGCAGAACCGGTTCTCCCATGAGGGCTCTAGACACTGTATTTTACTTTGTGCAACATAAGGGACCTGCATGCAAGCTCAGGGTGTGTTCCCTTCACAGGCTTTGGGGGATTAACAATGCATGATCTGTAATGTACCTAGGAAGTTTTTCTTTTTCCCATTTCCTAAGCTGTTGGAAGGGGGGGGACACTCTGGAGGGGTGTATTGAGATGTATTATGCAAAGATTTAACTGAGCCAAAAATCATATTAATACTAATAATAATGATCATGATAATAATAATAATAATAATAATGAAACAGAACTCTTAGCCTTAAGAAAGCTATTTATGAATAATTATGTTTACCTCACTGGTGCAATTAAGATGGGCATTCCTTCATGGGAGAACCTCTGACATGCACAGTTTGCAACCTTTTGTGGATTGATGTAAAATGTCTCAGCAGTTCTTGCTCAATAAAGGTCATATTGGAAACATGTCTGATTGTTTGATGGTCTCACTTTTAGGGTAAAACCACTGCTTCTCAGGTCTGTTCTGAAAAATTAATGGGGGGGGCACTAGGAAGAGTTATAAAGGCCCTACATTAAGTCATTCCCCTAGAAGTTTTTTTTTGTTTGTTTATTTCAAGATAGATATTTCATTGGGAAGGGAGAAGGGGAAGAAGAATCTTATTTCATCCTTGGAGGGACCTTTCAATGTCTCCTCTCCCTTCACTGTTGCAGATTATCCAGCTGGTGTTGTGGGGAAATGTAAACTTAGCTCTTCCTTACCCCAAGACCATCACCCTTCCTAGACACTACTCCATACTACCTCACTAGGTATCCATAATTCCAGATTTGGTCCCCTCTCCCCTACACTACTATCTCTCAAGAGTCTGTAATTAGAAAGAGGTGCTCTAGACCTTTTCAGTGTCCTATGTGCAAAGGGATTTCCCTCCCCTAGTGGGAAAGGGGAGAGTGGGATCAGGTAAGAAAGGGAGGAAAGAACAGCATGAATTTTGAAAGCTCTCACTCTCTGACAAGATCCCAGGAGAAATAGAGAAAGGAGCTAGCCAGTCACCTCATCTACTTCCATCACCCTAATTTTACAGATTTGGAAAATGGGGCCAAAAGATGGGTGTCGTCCCTAGGTCGGTTCTCAGCTAACTCCTGTATGGTGTAAATGCAGCAGAGGGCCATGATTTAAATTAATCTTTAAATGGTATGGTGGATACAAATAACACTTATAATAATGTGAATTTTTGATGAGTAATAATGAGTGCATTTCCTGGGTGAAAGGAAATGGTCCCTGACTGGGAAGAGCACTAGATGTGAAGGGAGAAAACCTGGTTTCTAATCTTTTCCTGAACTTCTCCAAGGTCACACATGTAGGGGTTACTTTTCCTAGGGCCTATTCCTCATCTCTACCATGCAGGACTTAGCAAAAACAAGAATTCATTCATTCTCATTTTCTCTCTCTCTCTCTCTCTCTCTCTCTCTCTCTCTCTCTCTCTCTCTTCCCCTCCCCCCCAATTTGGCTGTCTTCTGAAACCTACTGCCCCTTCTCAGAATTATGCTTTTAAATGCATCAAACAAGATGGTATGAGATGGCAAAGAAAACCATTTATATTGCAGTTTGTGCAAATATTCTAAGTTTGTGGATCCCAGATTAAGGAAGCCTGGAGACAATGATCTCCAAGGTAGACAGCATCGGGATAAGGGATGCTGGTTTTTCCATCTGTACCTAGGAGAGATAGGATCAAACAGACATCAATTTCCTGTGTCATTCAATCCTTTTTTTTCCAGATAAAACCACTTAAGTGGTGTTACAGTAGCAAAAAAATCATTAAGAGTAATATAAATTCAATCTCTTCTTTAGATAAAAGAAAGCATTCCATCATTTAAAAAAAAAAGATCCATGATATTATTACATTAAAAAAAAAGTCAAGGAAAGCAAATCACTTCCTTTATTAATGAAACTAAACCAGATAGGCTGTCATTTAGTAAATGATTTCAGTAGAATCATAGATGGACAGACCATACAGATCCACAAGCAATTAGCGTAATGTCATTTAAGACTTGCTAGCCAGTAGAAAAAGGAGAGAACGTTTGCTTTTCAGTAAGTTTTTGTCCATTTTTTTCAAGCAACCTAGAGGGAATATATCTACAGTTACTCTTTCAAAATACTATAAATGGAAAGGTAACATTTCAAGTACATCTTTGTAGCCTACATGTACTTCAAACATGTGACTGTGTCTTCAGAACCATAGGTATGGACAGTTCAGAAGGGGCTACATTGGTCCTTACCACTCAAAATCCAAATTGCTTTCATCTATGCCATTGCAGTCTATTTTTTTCCAGGAAAAAACACATTTTTTCTAAAGGTTGCATTTCCACATAAATTCACAAAAGTACATATTGAAATACACTGTCTCCTATTCTTATAATACAATGTTTTAAGCATCTTGTCTTATATAAGCACAATGTCTTATAATACAATGTCATAATACAGTATTTTAAGCATATTGCCAAATCCCCTATCTGATTTAGTTTACTGATACTACTAATTGTCACTCAATTTAACAGAAGACATATTGGTGGCATATGTGCTGATGGGTTGAGCTGCAGAGAAATCTTAGATTTAATATAGACAAGAGCTCTAGATAAAAATAAGAACTCTTTGGATAATAACAGTCTTCTAAAAAAAAGAATCTTTTTTTTTTTTCAAAAAGGTTGTCCTGAGAATGACAATTTCATCTTAAAATAAAATACATTATTATGTATAAAATACATAAAGACCCAGTTTATTTTTAAGCAAGAAGTACTAATATTTTCCTCTACTTATAATGAGACCTTATTTTTAGGTAACTAGCAACCCATCTATAAGGAAAATTAAGGGTTAATCCAGGTCCATAGGATTAAAGTTTTACTAGAGGAGACTTTAGAGATGACGGAGTTCATCCCCCAAGGTCAGGACCCCACCTTTGTTACAAAGAACTCAAATCCCCCTTCATAAGTAAGGGCCTAGCTTTTCAGAAAACTGGCTTTAAAGTGCTAAATAAATGTCTGTGTCGTTATTGTTATGTTAATACCTCAATGATCTATAATTTAATTAATCTAAGAAATCCACCAACACAAATCACAATCCATTTACAATATAATAGGTCCTAGTTGACTAAAGTTAAATCACTAAGTAATTACAGTCAGGATTTGATTTCAGATCTTCTTGACTACTAAAGCTTCACTCCATAGATACTGCCTATCTCTCTTTGTTAAGGAGAAGGCACAAGCCATAATCATGTCTCCAGGTTCAGCTGTCTTGGTTTCAAGTCCTGCTTCTGACTCATACTGGCTATTGGATCCTGGGCAAGTAATTTAAGCTTTCAATGCTCCCAAGCAACTTATAGTATAAATTGCAGAAAAGGTGCCATTCTATAATAGCAGTCAGAGCTTTATTGTTGGGAGTTTCCTATACTAAGGAAATCACAGGTTCAGTCCCATCATCATCATTAAAAATTTATCCAGGAATGATTATATACAAGCTCCTCTAATTAATCACTTTTATTTTATTCATACCCATGAGATCAAAGATTTTCAGAGTCTTTTAATTTTCTTATATAGCTTCCACTACCTCCATTCAATTCAGTTAGAGCATTCATTAAAGATTTATTTTGCACTAAGCATTGTGCTATGCTCTGGAAGTATAATAATAAAAATAAGAAAATCCTTTTCCTCCAGAAGCTTACATTCTAATGGAGGAGGAAGAGTAATTTTCAGGTGAAAAAATAAGCATCAGGATGGCATTTACCCGCCTGTCCAAGTATCTTCTCTCAAAAGCAAGTTGTACAGACAGAAGGCTAAGAGCCACTGAGGCTCCTGCCAAAGGTGGCCATTGAGCTCTCTTCCAGATCTGAAGTTCTGTGATTCTGAGTAGTGCTATACTTCTATTCAGGGACTTGATTTTAAAAAAAAGTTGAACAGCTATTAGCAAGTGGCATAAGCCACTTTCAAATGAATCTTCAAATTGCAAAAATACGGATGCCTCAATTCTTAGGGATGAATTGCAAATGGAATCATTTACTATTGTATATTATAATCTGAGGCCATATGTCCAAGATATTTTCCCCAAACCCCTCTGCCAGTTGCCATAATCAACATATGCATAGTTGTAATAATTAAACTAGTCATATCTTCTATAACTACTCCATATCTGTCATAACCTTAATTCCAGTAGTTACTATATCCCTCAAAAAGAACTCTGAGGTTATTTAGTTCACAGCTTGGGCATGGATATTGGCTCAGCTCAGGGTGCTAACAGGGAGAGGTTGTACTGCCTTCTGAACCATTGTGAATTGCAGTGTGACATTTCCAAAAGTCCTGCTTCCTTTCCTGTAATATAACTTTGCAAATTATCCTCACTCAAATGAAATTGCCTCAGTTGTCAGAATTCCTACCCACAACCATGTAACCATAATCACCAAACTTGGATATCCCTTCTACGACATTCTTGAGACATAGTTATCTAGTTTCTATGTAAATACCCCCAGTGATAAGGAATGCAGTAGCTCCCATGAACATCTTTCTGTTATTGAACAGCCCTAACGGGTTATAAAGTTCTTACCTTGAGCTGAACTTCACTTTCCTGTAGCTTCAGCCCACTGCACCTAATCACTCTGGGGCAGGGCACAATGCTCAATTTCTCTTCCAAAGGACAATCCTTTAAATTCTTGAAGACAGCAATCACATGGCCATTGAATTTGCTCTTCTCCAGAGTAAATACCCTTATTCCCTTTCCTCTTTTATACGTTAATGAGACATATACAAGGTAACCGAGTGGGAAATCAGATTTCCTCCCCCAAATATTATGAAAGCATGATCTAATTGTCTTTCGTAGGGATCGACAAAACCGTGATTTTGCTCTTGGTCTTAACCCCAGCTTCTCAGAAGCCTTATACCGCATCCATATATGCATACTATACGTGCATGACAGCAAGGTTAATCTGTTCACTTTGTTCATACTAACAATTTGTAAGGTTCATTGCCCCATTGATTCGGTCACAGAGATTAGTATGGATTGGGAGAAGTCAAAAGGCTCAAACCAGTCATTTAATGAATGTGCCTGTTACATCTTATCTTGATACAGTCCTACCATTGAGGAAGAAAAGGGAATAAACATTTATATGATGCCTACCATGTTCCAGGAACTTTTATAGGTACTAAAAAAAAAATCATCCCATTTTGTCCTCAAGACAACCTTTTAAGGTAGGTGCTATTATTATCTTTACAATTTGAAAGACAGAAGTTAAGGGATTTGCCCAAGGTCACACAGCTAGTAAGGGCCTGAGGGTGGATTTGAATTCAGGATTTCCTGACTCTAGATACGGTACTCTACCCATTGCACTACCAGCTGCCTCCATTGTTGCAATGACAACTAGTTAACTCATTCCCTAAGTTAAGAGATGCTTACTTTGAGACTCTGTGTTTGTATAGGGGGAGGGGG